GGGTGGAGAGCAGATAAGCTGTGAAGAGAAACACAGAACAGATTTCTGCTCCACCCTCACTGCACTTTGATCAGGGAGGACCTCCGCCTGGCCGGGGCTGCCTGCCTGGCACTGGGGAGAGGGAGGAAGCTTAGCAGTGTCAGCTGTGGGCATTCCAAAACCCTCTTCTCTTCGTCTCTACTCCAGGTACACTTGTTTAACTTAGTCTGAGTGCCTGATTTTGCTACCCTGAGATATGTGTCATTGAACTGCATAGAGTCTTTTGATGGGTTTCATTAGAAGTGGGAAAACACTCACCAACTGAAATTCATACTTGTGTTTATTTGCTGGCTACTGCCTCCTCAGTTATCATAAATGTCCTCTGATCTTTTTTTTTTTCTCCCCTCAATAGTACTGATTCTTTCCCAGGAAGGAAAGGAACTTAGGAAAGAAAATGATAACGGGCCATGTTTCTTTAGGAGAGTCCTCAGGGTTTTTCTGCAATTAAATGTGCCAAGAGTTCAAGTCCTTATGACACATGGCTCAGAGTTCTGACTCCAGTAGAGATGTGTTTGATGTGTGCCTGGATGTGCAGGTCGCAGCTTATTGCCAGGAGGCATGGAAATGATTCAAGGGGTGTGATGGCCTTCTACTGAATTCCTACTTTTGTTTTGGTTTTGATTTTGGGTCTGGTATTAGGCCTTGAACTCAAAGCCCATGTTCCATCCTTTTTCATTTAAAGCTAGCCACAGCTCCCTTGCCAGTTTTTTGCTAGTTAATTGGAGATAAGAGTCTCACACTTTACTGCCTGGTCTAGTTTTGATCCTGTGAATCTCAGATCTCATCGTAGCTAGGATTACAGATATGAGCCTCCCATGCTGGCATACTCTAGTTTTTTAAGCTGTTTTATAACTATATTCAGGCTAGATGGACACTTAAGTGATTATGTCTCAAATTTCTGGTACTCGTATATTCTATTCTTCCCCAAAGTAGGTTGCGTATGTGATTGCATTAAAATATTCAAGCAAAATACTCAGTGAAGGGTACAGATGGCTAACAGGCTTGATCCTCCTACGGCTCTTTCCCAGGTTCCCTGGTAATACTTACCAGGACATAGAATTCATACCCTGCTGTTTTCACTTACCCCATGGTATGACAGGATTTTTTCCATCTTGCTGCCCAATCTTACTATTTTTTAATAATTGCATCAATGCTGGTGGAGCGGATGCACCCTGCTTTTCCAAACCATTCCCATATCATTAGACATGAGATTGTTTCCATGGTTTCCACTATTATAAGTAATCTTGCAAATAGATGGCTTCCTTTGTGTAGCCTTTCCTTTCTTTTGAATTGTTTCCTTATAATACATTTTCAGAAGTGAAATTACAGGGTCACCTAGGACATGAACCTGTGGTTCTGGACAGTATGGCTAACTGCCTTCTGGAAGCTGTAAACCAGATTACAGCCCTACATCCCAATGGCATGAACACTTGACATCAGTATTGCAAGCCTTCTCCATCTTTTCCTCCATTTTTGCCCTTTTCCCCTTTTTTTATTTCCCCCAATATTGAGCGTAGTAGTCCTGTATTTTAATATTGAACTACCACCCCAGAATGAAATGATGGCTTCCTTCAATAATGGAATGGTGGACACAGCATAGCATCCTGCTGACACGGTCACAAATACGAAAGCATTTAGCTGTCAGGACCATTCTCCAGGCAAGTGATGTGAGGACCAGGGTCCAAAGAGGAAGCTGAGGGAGGCCACTGTTCCTGTGGTTGACTGATCCATGATAGCCACTTGCTTCTTGTTCCTGTTTTTTCTTCTTTCCCTCTATCCCCCCTTTCTTTCATCTTTTTTATTTATTATTATTATTTTGGGTCCAGTCATGGGCCTGAACTCTGGGCCTGGGCACTGTCCCTCAGCTCTTCAGCTCAAGGCTAGCATGCTACCACTTGAGCCATAGCACCACTTCCGGCTTTTTTCCCCTGCTTATGTGGTGCTGAGGAATCGAACCCAGGGCCTCATACATGCAAGGCAAGAGCTCTACCACTGAGCCACCTTCCCAGCCCCCTTCCATCTTTTGATGGTACTTAGATGTGAACTCAGGGATGATGTCTGCTAGATTGGTGCTTTGTCACTTGAGCTATGCCTCCATCCTAAGTTATTTTGGAGACGAAGTTTTGTGGACTTTTCTGCCTTGACTGTTAAGTCTCTGGATCTCAGCCTACTTAGTAGCTAGGATTACAGGCAACGGTGATGAGCCTCTGGCACTCTGATTCCTTTCTAGACAATATTCCACCTCCCCATCTTGGCCACTCATTTTGGCGTTCATGATAAGCAGCTGGATTGCCTGGCTGGTAGTGTATAATGGCTTAACTGCCAATGGTGGTGTGACTTCAGAGCCCTCTTCTGTCTTAGCCCCTCTGTCCTGATGTTGCAGGTGGGCTGTTTCTTAGTGATCCAGGTCCCTTCTCTACTTCTCAGGAATAGCCAGAAAGCCCCACATGCGCATTTAGTGTAACCAGATTCATAGCATCATTGTTTGATAGGGCTATTGTATTTCAGAATTTTCACAGGAATCTACCTTACATGTGAGACATTTCAATGACTGTGTAGTGTGATGTTTTGTACATTGAAAGCCCTCAGTTTTAGCCTTTGTGTTTGTGTTACTTAAGCTGAACTTGGAGTGTAGGGGTCTTGTTTCTGGATTTTCATAAGCTCCCCTCCTTTTTTGGGGGGTGGGTCATGGGACTTGAACTCTGGGCCTGGGCACTGTCCCTTATCTCTTTAGCTCAAGACCAGCATTCTACCACTTGAGCCACAGTACCACTTCCAGTTTTCTGAGTGGTTTATTGGAGATAAGTTTCACAGCATTGAGTTTCACAGCTTTTCCTGCCCGGGCTAGCTTTGAACCGTGATCCTCAGATCTCAGCCTCCTGAGTAGCTAAGATTACAGGCATGAGCCACCAGCACCTGGCTTGAGCTCCCATTTTTTTCTGGACAAAGAAAGGAATAGGATCTATGAAAGGGGGTTGGGTTTAGTTTGCTTGGGGGAGGAAGTTGGAGAGGGCAGAGTGAGTCATATGACTAGAACTGGGGGTTTCTCCCCTGCCTCTCCGCTTGCTACAGGAGTGATGAGTAGGAAGCAGGTTGGGAAAATGGAGTTGAAGAGAGCTGTTTGCTTCTAGGGACAAGGATGCACAGCACACTCCCATCCAGTTTAGTCAATGTTGGGTGCTCTGCTTCCTACGACTGGTTTATCTCAGGATTTAGTGGAGTCATGTAAGAAGACAAGTTACTGGAATAATAGAGAAAAAAGTTCTACCTCTAACAAATAACAGGTAGCCAGGAATGTATGGAATGGAATCCTGAAATTAGGGAATGGTCCTGATAGAAATGTGGGAGAGGGCAGGTGCTGGTGGCTCACACACCTATAATCCTAGTGACTCAGGAGGCTAAAATCTGAAGAGGTCGGTTCAAAGCCAGCCTAGGCAGAAAAGTCTCCTGAGACTCAAATGGGAAGTGGTGCTGTGACTCAAAGTGGTAGTTAGCCTTGAGCTAATGAGCTCAGGGACAGCACCCAAGCCCTGAGTTCAAGCCTCACAACTGACCCTCCCCCCTAAAAATGTGGGGGAGGGAAAAAGGTGTGGTTAAAGTACATGGCTGTGGCTAGATTTTTAAGCAATTCTTTCAAATTTAATTGTTTTCTCAAACAGATCCCAGTCACATTAGTTTTAGTCTACTAAATTATATAAGGTTTCTATTTGGCCTTTCTCATTAGGATAGAGAATGAATGAAACAGGGGAGAATTGACATTTTGTCTCCAGAATTGATTATGGGCACACTAGTGCTATTAGAAAACACAATCTGCAGCAAAACATGTGTGGCCTGTTTTTGTAAAGTTAAGTAAATGAGATACCTATTAAAATCTTAGAGTCCAGTGGCACACACCTTTAATCCCAGTATAAGAGGATAATTAGAGGCCAGCCTGGGATAAATACCAAGACACTGTCACACAATGCAACAATGAGCAACAAATCCCACCAAACCTGCGTATGCGTAGTTTCATTTCCACAAAGTCAGTGTTTTTAAATGTAGTAGAGAATGTTGAGCACGTAGCCTTTTATGGATTCTGACCTCCCTGGCAAGCTAGCTGGTGGCTCTGCTGTTTATTTCCCTCTCCTAGGGACAGGATGGTGTGAGCCATGTGGCATTTACCTGTGAAGTGTGGTTTGTTTCACTTGTGAGAGATCTCCAAGTTTGTTCGGCATGTTTACAGATAGGATTCCTCCAGCTTTCTGCATCCTGCTGTGTGGTCCTTGGGTTCTAAAGTTAATGTACGGTGTTTTTGTTTTCGTTTGTTTTTGTTGGTCATGGGTCTTGAACTCTGGGCCTGGGCACTGTCCCTCAGCTCTTCAGCTCAAGGCTAGCGCTCTACCCCTTGAGCCACAGTGCCACTTCTGGCTTTTTCTGCTTATGTGGTGCTGAGGAATGGACTCCAGGGCCTTGTGCATGTAAAGCAAGCGCTCTACCACTGAGCCACCTTCCCAGCCCCAATGGACGGTGTTTTTAAGAGCATAAGTTACAGGCTCAGGCCTGCAATCCTAGCTACTCAGGAGGCTGAGATCTGAGGATTGTGATTTGAAGCCAGCCTAAGCAGGAAAGCCCAAGAATGAGACTCTTCACTCCAATTAACCTCTTCACAAAAAAGCTGGACCTGGTGGCATGGCTCAAGTAGTAGAGTACTAATCTTGAGCATAAAAGCTCTAAGGGACCCAGGCCCTGAGTTCTAGCTCCAGTACATACATGTCCACCATGCCCGAGCCCCACACACTAAGTTGCTAGGATAGACTAACGCCATGGGGTAACACCATGGCAGCCCAGTGAGGGCTCCTACTTGTGGGCTGCTGGACAGAGCAGGGCTGACTTCCTGATTTCCTCCTGGGTGTGCTGAACTAGAGGATGGGGTCAGCTGACAGTGATGGGTAACCATGTCTCCTCTGTCCCATGTCTGCCAGGCCGGGGCTCCAGTGATGCCTAGCGCGGGAGAAGGCCCCACCCCTGAGAACAGCGAGCTCAAGTACTCAGCGCAGGACGGGCTCTACATTGGCGTCAGTCTGTCTTCCCCAGCAGAAGTCACATCCTCTGTGCGACAGGATTCCTGGTGCGCTCTGGCCTTGGCCTGAGCTGGTGCTGCTGGGGCTAAAGAGGACTCCCCACTCTGAGGGCCTCGAACCAGCAGTCCACATGGTGGCAACCAGACAGACCGAACATTCCTCCGATGCGTGATTTCTGTGCCTTTGTTTTGAAAGTGATGTATTTCCCAAGAGGCTTGCTTCTGGGGAAAGGCCAACGGCAGTGGCACATGGCCGGCCTCCTGCAGCCGGGGTGGCCTCCGGCCAGCCTGCCTCTGCGCTGTCCCCTGAACTGCTGGCACAAACTGGGACATGAACAATTGAGATTCTTTTTTTTTTTTTAAAGGTTAATGTGTATTGCCCCAAATCATGTGCTTCTTTGGATCGATTATGGTTTTTCTAGAAGTTCTTCACACCTGTGCCACATGCCAAGTTCACAAGTTTGTGGAGACCATTGGAGACCATTTGGTACTCACGGCTAAGGAGGAGGATTGCTTTCTGAGGTGTATTGTCAAGTGTATTTGTCAGTTTTCAAGACTGCCGAGCTGTGACTGAATCTTCTCGAAGCTCAGCTTGGGCGACTGATCTGAGCTCACTCAGAATTTGTAAACAGGGTAGCAAACAAGATATTTTTTTCTTCCATGTACACAATAATTTTTTTTAAAGTGCAATTTGCGTTGCAGCAATCAGTGTTAAATCATTTGCATACGATTTAACAGCATTTTTTATAATGAATGTATACATTTTAACTTAATGGTACTTAAAATAATTTAAAAGAAAAAAATGTTAACTTAGACATTCTTAAGGATTTTACAAACTACATCCCATTTTTACCTTCCCAACTGTCCAAAGAAAACTCATGTCAAGAACAAATCCCTCTCTCAGGAAAAATTGCCTTTCTCTATTTGTTAAGAATTTTTATACGAGAATACCAATATACCCCTTTTTCTTTCACTGTGGATATGTGCTGGAAAATTTGCGACAAAAACTTTACTACCTAAAAAATAGCATTTGTAAATACTCTAGGCATCTGTACACGCTCTGATGAAGTCTGTATAGTGTGACTCACCACAGGTTGGTTTACATTAATTTTTTTTTAAAGGGATGTCAGCCGGGTGTTGGTAGCTCACGCCTATAATCCTAGCTACTTGGGAGGCTGAGATCTGAGGATCTTGGTTCAAAGTAAGCCTGGACAGGAAAGTCCTTGAGACTCTTATCTCCAATAAACTACTCAGAAGAAAGCCGGAAATGGTGCTGTGACTCAAGTGGTAGAGCGTTAGCCTTGAGCAAAAGAAGCTCAGGGACAGCGCCTAGGCCTAAAGTTCAAGCCCCAGGACAGGCAAAAAGTTAAAAAAAAGGGGGGGGGGATGTCATATGGAAACCTATTTCACCAGAGTTTAAAAAAAATAAAAAAGGGTATTGTTTTGTCTTCTGTACAATGAGTTCCTTTTCTTTTAACTTGATTTGGATGCAACACAGGGTGGTTAAATCTTTATGAAGTAAGTGTGGGTATGGTGATGAAAACCTGCCTTAGGGATTTCCTTTTGGAGTTGTTGGAGGCTTTGGTTTATTGGAAGTTGGCACTTCTCATTGGATTTACTTCCCATTGGATTGGTAACAACCTTTATTTTTGGACAGTCCTAAGGTTTGAACTCAGTACCCTGTGCCTTCTAGGTATGCGTGTATACATACTATGAGGTGTTTGGTTTTTTTTTTGTTGTTGTTGTTGGTTGTGGGGCTTGAACTCTGGCCTGGGTACTGTCCCTCAACTCTTCAGCTCAAGGCTAGCACTCTACCACTTGAGTCACAGCACCACTTCCAGCCTTTTCTATTTATGTGGTGCTGAGAAATTAACCCAGGGCCTATGTATGCAAGGCAAGCACTCTACCACTGAGCCACCTTCCCAGCCCCATACCGTGAGTTATACTGCAATTATTTTTACTGCTTTTTATTCCCCCAGATGAGCTCTCACTTCCCACCCACCCACCCACCCAAAGATGTCCTCAGACCCTAATCTTCTTTTGTGCTTCCCTGTAGCTGGGAAGCTACCACTGGCTTACTGAGATAAAGGGTCTCACCAACTTTTTACCCTGATGGCTAGGAGCCACCAGCCTCTTTATTGATCTCTACGTCTGATGTAGCTGGGATCAGAGGTTTGAATCATTGTGTTCAATGTGACAAATAGCAAGTCCAAGGCTTACTTCTTCGGAAATGAAATATATTTTGGTCCAAGAAGCATTTCCCTTTCTAGCTACCCTCTCTGGGAAAATGCCACGAAGTCTCAAAGCTTAGCTGAGGACAGAGGACCTTTAAGCTCTCTGGAAGAAAGGGCCTGGACAGCCTCTTCTGTTTTGTTTTGTCTCTTTGGGGTGGGGAGGCTGTCCCACCACACAAAATGGTGGCATTTAACTTTAGCTCCTTGAACGTGTATGGCATTTTAGAATTTTCATGTTCTTATCAGGGTAGCCTTCCTTGGTGGTGGATCTCTTTTAGTATTAGAAAATGCTGAGATAATTGTCCTGGGAGTGACTTGGGGTTAGTGTGTTGCGTTTGCATATGAGTCTGAAAAATTCATGGAAACCCATGTGTGCCTTGCTGGCGTGGTAGGTTAGACCAAAGATGAGAGGGATGTGGAATGGAGGTAAGCTACAGGACTATCAAGTCTGCTCAGCACGAGTCTCCACAACTTTGGGAAAGTTATCTGACACTCATTTCCTAATCTGCAGACAAAGCAAATAGCATTAATTCCAGGACTGCAAGAACCATAATCCACACCAAGGGGTGAGCTGTACCTGGCAACTTGAGCATCCAGGGTTAACTTGACCTTGAAGGGGAGGAGTCTGATGTCACCTGTGTTTCTTGAACCAGACTGAGGTGGTTAAAATGCAGGAGGATGTGTGAAATGTTCCAGTTTATCCTGGGCTAGTAGGTGTTTGTTTTTTGTTTGTTTGTTTATTTTTTGTTTTGCCAGTCCTGGCGCTTGAACTCAGGCCTGAGCACTATTCCTGAGCTGCTTTTGGTCAAGGCTAGCATTCTACCACTTGATCCACAGGGCCGCTTCTAGCTTTTTCTGTTTGTGATACTGAGGAATCAAACCCAGGGCTTTATGCATGCTAAGCAAGCACTGTACCACTAAGTCACCTTCCCAGTCCCAAGGGCTAGTTGTTTTATAGAGTTAGAAAATGACTTCACTGGCTGAGTTTTCCTCCCTCTTTCAGTTCTTATTACTCTTAGTGCTTTCAGAAAGATTGAGAATGGTTAAAGTGATTTTTTTTTTTTTTTTTTGTTGGTCGTGGGGCTTGAACTCTGGGCCTGGGCGCTGTCCCTCAGCTCTTCAGCTCAAGGCTAGCACTCTACCACTTGAGCTACAGCACCACTTCAGTTTTCTGGTGGTTTATTGGAGATAAGAGTCTCAGGGACTTTCCTGCCCCGGCTGGCTTTGATCCATGATCCTCAGATCTCAGCCTCCTGAGTAGCTAGGATTACAGGTGTGAGCCACGGGCACCCGCCCATGTATTTTGTGGTTGGAAATGAATTTTTATTTTGTTACTGTTGCATCAAAATGACTTTTTTGGGGGGGGTGGTAGCAGGGAAGATAGTGGGGAATGTTCTTCAATATTGTTTCTTCTAGCCCTAAAACTATCATTAAGTTTCTAAATCCCTCTTTCCCTCCTTATCTTCCTCCTCCTTTTCCTCCTTTTTAGGATACAAAGTTAAACAAAAAACCCCCAAAACCTCAGTTGTCATGAAATAAAATACAAAGGTCAGAAGAAAGGGAAATGATCTCTGGCTGCCTCTCCCAACAACCAACTCCACTAATCTGTGCCATCTAAGCTGCTACTTTCTTACCTGTGATAATAAAACAAGTTCAGAAACATGTTCCAAGTTCTACACAATCTCAACATCCCTCATCCTTAAAAGATGGCATACAAAATCATCTATGTGAATGTATTCTTAGCTTAAGGATCCTCATACCTATTCAGATGAGTTGCAGAATTTGTCCTGTCAGTTTGGCTGATTTCTAGGCCATCTTGAATAAATGAAGGCTGTCTGGAGTCTCTCTTCAGGGTCACTTCATGTTGCTTCCTGGTGCCTACGGGAGGGTCAGGAAAGCAAAAGGCAGCCATTCATTTCCCCCTGCAAATAAATTAACTTCTGGCTCATGGGAAATGTTTTCCCCAGGCCTTGGAAATTTAGTGTAATTTCAGATCATAGATAAATTAGCTGCTGGGAGTTGACCCAGCACGTCTGCAGCGGCTTTGCCAGGTCCCAAGCCGGGGGCTGTGTAGTACTTTGGCGCATTAGGTTCTGTGTACCCGCATTGCCTGTGGGTTCTGTGGGTTTGACTGGGTTCTGATGGTGAAGGAAAATGCAGGGGTGAGTGACGCAAGTGGGGACAGCGAGCAGACATTTAATCTAATTAGGCTGCTCCAGCTTATTACAATGCAGTTTGTTTCTGGGTTGAAATAAATCAATTTGCCAATACTATCACTTCTTATTGCTTGGAAGCTCTCATTAGCAGTCAGAAATCAGTTTTGATTATTTTAGCGGGGAAACAAGTAGTAATGACTTTGATAGACTGTTCCTCCAATCCCCACCCCCACCCCAGCATAAGGGTTTGAACTTAAGGGCTTTCAGCTCTCACATCTCTTTTTTTCTCACAGCCGATGCTCTACCACTTGAGACTATGATCCCAGCCTTATGTTTTATCAGTTATTTGGAGACAGACTCTCTTGGATTTTTCTTCCCAGGCTATCTGAACCAAGATCTTCAGCCTCCTGAGTAGCTAGGATTACAAGTATGAGTTAGTGGTACCCAGCTGATAAACTAAATCATTTGAACAGTCTGTGGGTCAAAATTTGGTCTGTATACCAGGTTCAGGTGGCTCACATCTGTAATCCTTGCCTCTCAGGAGGCTGAGATCTGAAGATCATGGTTTGAAGCCAGCCAGGGCATGAAAGTTTGGGAGACTCTTATCTCCAATAATTACCAAGAAAACTCAAATGGTATAGTACTAGCTCTGGGCAAAAAAAAAAGAGTTCAGAGACAGCACTCAGGCCCAGAGTTCAAGCCCTAAGTGATTGGCACACACACATAAAACCCACTTTTTATTTTTTTGTCTTTATACCTTTGATTGCTCAAGGTCTCATGATAGATTTATGGGACCAGGTTCAAAAGAGCAGGCTGCTTGACTAGTGTGTGTGTGTGTGTGTGTGTGTGTGTGTGTGTTAGTTACAAGAAGTTGCTAAACAGTGGAGGACAGGCAGCAGATAGAACATGGGGCTTTAGCTTTGTCCAGCTCTAAGCTATGGGGAGGTAGAAAGCCTAAGTTCATAGGGACTTAGGACAAATTGTTTCAGGCTGATGGTGCCAAATAACCACCACAGGTTAGTCAGGAGGTTGTAGGTGTACATGTAATCCTCAAGACACACCAGAGTAAGTATCCATGCTCCCCTACCTATCTGAGGCTCCGCTCACAGCTGCTCTAGAGAGCCAGCCTGTCACCGGGTGCCAAATTCTTCCTGCTCAGTAACTGTCACCAAGAAGTGATGGTTCCATGGCTGAAGCCCTGACTTACATATCATTATTTAGCTGGGCGGACCTTTCTCGTGTGTTTAAAAGAATAAGAGTAAGCAGCCTATTTATTTGATTTATTTAGTGCTAATACTGGGGCTTGAACTCAGGTCCTCTTGCTCTTGCCTAGCTTTTCCACTCAAGGCTGATTCTTTACCATTTGAACCACTTCTCCACTGGTTAGTCAGAGGGGAGAGTCTCAGATTTGTCTGCCTGGACTGGCCTGACTTTAAGTCAAGATCCTCAGATCTCAACCTTCTAAGTAGCTAGGATTTCAGGCTGGAGTCATCGGTACCCAGCAAGTTAGAACATTTCAGTAGTGGCTAAACTATAGCACTTAAGAAAAGTAAATAAATAAAAGGAAAAAATGAGAACTAGCCAGACATCCAGCAGCTTTAGGACAAGGTGAGTTCTTTCTGTAGGCCTCAGGCTCAGTGTAATAAAAAGGTGAGCAGTGTATTCTGGAAGGTTCCTTCCATTTGCCTTTGCATTATAAGGTCCCAAGGGCAGATTCCATCTGAGATGATAGTGGGTCTTTGGCTACATCTGGGTCCCTACATCT